ATCTCTAATCTGTATGTATCTGATTATTACTAGTCATAATCAGTTGCACTTGGATCCTTGGCACCTGTGTATGTCTAGAAAGTAATCAGGTAAATTTCAATGGTAATGTTTATCACGTCTACTAATTAACATGACATAAATTTCCATGCTTCCTCCTCAAATATAATAGATTTTTAAAAATTCGTTAATTTTTTTTGTGTGTGTGTGTGTATCACACAGAACATCCAAAACCATCTTATTCAACCATACACCCACTTCCCAGATGGCATCCTCCCATAGCTTCCCTCCCCCCCACTAGAGCCCTTATACTCTGATATCCCTGCTACTGTCTGCTGTGTGGTCGGCACCCCCAGCCATTCCCCACTCCTTGACCTTCTGGTGAATCTAGTCAACCTATTGAGAGGTCATTGTTTTAGGAGGGTTAGCTGCTCCTTATTTAGCAGCAATCAGTTGTCAATATTCCTTTAGATAAGATTGGGGTCTGCTGTTCATTTTCCCAGTTCTATGCTGGGTTACTATCTGGGAGTCCCTTTGGCCACCCTGGTATGGACTCTTAAGAAATTATATTGGCCCCTTTAATCTTTGGTTATACTTTCCTTTTGGGTGTTTAAGGCCATAGAGTTGACCCAGATAAACTAATTTATTTTTACTCTTAAGGTCGCTTGAGGATCTGTTCTTCAGGGGTCACATGGGCTTGGGAGGAGCCCCTGGCTCCTTTCTTTCACCAGTTCCATCTATGTGAAGGTAAGTCAAAGGTCCTGCTCGACCATGGTTGGCTTCGCTTGGAATCATGGAGGAAATGATTCCTCTGTGTTGACCCTCCTCTTTGTAGACTGGATACTGGTTCAAGTCTATCTGTTGGGGTCTCCTCAGCCTCCTTGATCAAGAGGACAGGTGACCCACCACAATTACAGGACATTTTGAGAGATGCTCATAGTCCCCTGGAACTAGTCGACCTAGGAGGGCAAGGAGCAAAAACTGTCCTTTATGTCCCTCTGACCAAATTAGTATAGGCCTCAAAGGATGATTGTTAAACATCCAAGAAGGTTAGTTCCACCAGTCTGGTACTTTTAATTACTGTGTGTCATGTGGATAAATCTTGGGCAAAGACCAATTGTTCTCAGATAAACCTTACCTAGACATATATTTCTTGATCTGCTATGTATAATTTGTCTGTAGGTTGTAGGAGTAATATGGTTCCCTCTGGTTTTCAAAACTAGCTAGGCATTGTTTGTCTCTCACATTGTCTAACCCCTCCATTGTGGTTTTCCCACTTAAGGTGCCCCCATTTCCCCCTTTACTCCCTTACTAATAACCTTCTCCTATGGTCCTACCTCTCTTGAGCTCCTTCTTTCCCTTTATCCCCTAGGTTCCTTATATACCCTTCCCTCCTCCCTCCCTTAAACTCCCTTAACCCAATTTTTATCCGTATCTCTCTTATTAAGGCCTGTTTCCTACTGAAGAATAGAAAATTTTTGACTTCTTAGTTTTTTATTTTTTTGAGACAGGACCTTATTATGTCGCCCTGGCAAGCCTGGAACTTTGAATTTAGACCAGGCCGGCCTCCAACTCACAGAGACCCACCTGCCTCTGTCACCTCAGTGCATGAAAGGCATGAACCACCGTGCCTGGTCTAAGAACGGAAAGTTTTAAGACAATTCTCTCCCAACTGCCACACTTGTATGATTTAATCAACCGCAATATACATATCTTATTCTTAACTTTTTTGAAATATGATTTAAATATTATAAACCTCTTTAAGTGTACAATTCAATGATGCTAGTACATTTATGACCATAATCCAGTTTCAGAACATTTCTGTTACCTCAACAAAAGCCCAAATGCAAATGCAGACCAAGACCAAACATTAGGACCATGACACGATCCTTGCTTGCAATCCTGGAAAGCAATACTCTTATTTTTTTTCTCCTCCAGACGGGGTCTTGCTATGTAATCCTGAACCATCTGCTCTTCCTTTTACAAGTCAGGCTGGCATCAAACTTACACCAGTCCTCCTGCCTCAGCTTCCAAGTACTTAAATCACTGCTGTGTGCTACACACCTAAGTCTAAGTTGATCATTTATTGATATTTCCTTTTTCATATATATATTTGGATTTTTTAATGAATCATGTTATAATGATGCTTCTATAAACATTCATTTACCATTTTTTTAATTGACTTAGTCTCTTCTTTATCTTGATAGCTTCCTAGGAGAAAAATTATGTTTAGTTTTTAAGAAATTACAAAACTACTTTCCAAAGGGGCTGTGTATTGTCAATTCATGAAATTTTCTATTTTTCCATATTCTTGCCAACATACAGTATTATCTTTTAGGTTCACTATCAAATGGTTTATCTATGAGAACATAGGATCAAATGGTATCTGAATGTGGTTTTAATTTGCATATCCCTGACTACACAATTATTTACCAAGTGACATTTTAAAATCTCATTTGAAGGTACCAATTAAAAGATGTTTTTACATGCTATCAAACATATGCACATCTGTGTGTCTGCCACAGCACACATATGGAGGTCAGAAGACAACTTGTTGGCATTCTCTCTTTCTACTGTGAGAGTTCTGGGGATTGAACTTGCCTGGTCAGGCTGGTGGCAAATGCCTTTACCTGCTGAGCCATCTCACTGGACCCAAGATTCCTGTTTTGTAAAGTCAGTATTTCTGGTTCCTTAAGAAAGAGGCACAATGTTGTTTTTCTCTGACTCTAACATCTTATGCCAATGAGAAGAGCTTAAAAATGGGAAGGGAAAGTTCCAGAGATAAGAGTTTCAGTCCTGTCTTTCCAACTTACTTGCTGGGTAACTTTTAGCTTAACTTTTCTGTGCTCTGAAAAATGGGACAAACCCATTTGTTATGTACCAATCACATAACATTTTGTGATGAAATATATGTATGTATGTATATACAAATATAAGATATTTAGCATATAAATATCTTGTTTAAATATATACTTATGTAAACATAAAATATAAAATATTTTACTTAAACTCGTCAGCAGTTATTTGAGAGAAAATGCCTGAACAATATAAATTTGATTGCAATGGAATTGATCCTAGAAATTAAATTTTTCTTAATTTTAAAGAGAGTTCAAAATTCCCTTATGACTAAGCTATTCATCAGCAAAACACACACGTGTGTACACGTACACACACAGACACAGAGAAACTGTGTTTAATCCCTGGCCTTCAAATTCTCATTGCCCATTACTGACATTTTCAAAGTGAATTAGTATTAAATATTCATATGACATAGTCTAGTTTCATTAATCTGAACAAATATGAGACTGACTGAGAAATGAGCTGCAGGGTCCAGTGAAGGCCTCTGTCCTGGTCATTGATAGGTGATAATTGTGTATTGACAGAAGGCAAAATTAAAAGTTTATATTTCTCATTTTGGTTAGAGAAATTATCACAATCTATGCCAGGTTTGTTTTTCCTCTTTCAAATGATTAGTCAGTTTCAAAACTCTGTAGAACCTAAGAGCTAAAGTGGTGTCATTACAGCAATCCTGTAAGATTCTTCTATGCTGAAGAATTCTAAAATGGTAATCTGATAAGAAAATTCCCATTTTTATGGTTTTAGGTTTAGACTATTCATTTAAAATAAAAAATTCACTGGTAAAATATTTAAAAAATGCTGGTTGTGGCAGCAAATGCCTTTAATCCCAGGACTCGGAGGCAGAGATAAGTGGATCTCTGTGAGTTCAAGGCCAGCCTGGACTACATAGTGAGTTCCCAGCCAGCTGGGGCTACAGGATGACTCTGTCTCAAAAAGACCAAAAAAATAAAATAAAATAAAAAAATAAAAAGAAATAAATAAAAAGAAAAGAAAAAAGATTTCACTAAAATTTTTTAAAAATTTATTCAGTGATGTTAATATTTTAAAAACATTCATGATACAGTAATAAGTCATTTTAAAACATCATAGAGTAGCTGGTGGTTTTGCATAAAATTTCTTACTCTTGAACACTTTCTTCAGCGATGGTAGAAACAAACAACCCTGATGATGGAGGTGTTTTTGCCTTCTTCTTAGAAGTAATTTTGATATGAGGATTGGCTATATTGAAGATAATCTGCTTAGAGACCTCTTAGAGTGTTTCTGCATGCAAGACTGTATAGGAAAACCTTTGTATAGACTGACTTCCATTTACAGTAGTGTATGCAGACAATGAATTGATGTAGTTAGTGGGGAATTCATACTAATTTATAGGTAGTATACCTCTAGAGGACTTTAATAAAAAACAAAAAAATACTTTTTTAGCCCCAAAAGAGATAACCTTCACTATCATTATCAGAAAAGTAATGAGCAATACCAAAGTGTACATAGTGTCTAGGCAGTTGTATAAATGGTGTTTCTGAGAATATACATTTTCTACCCATAGTCAGCCCACATTTCCCAAGCACCAAGGAGCAGCTGTTAGGTCAAATGACTCTGATGGGAGGAACAGACTGTTAGGACATGATCCAGATAGAGAGCTGCAAAGAACACCGGATGAGGGAAGAGTACTTCAAACCAAGGACAATGAGATAAATGGTCTGAATATTCTACAAGTGCACTCCAGGGTTTTACACGGTGTGCCAGGCTGACTGACGACTGACACAGAAATATGGAAAGAAGGAGCCTGGAAGTGCATTATCTGTGTCAGCGAGTCAGCAGGGTGACAGCTTATGTTCCCCAGAAACAGTGCTTTCACGGTCCATACCTATCTCATCCTGAAACTTGCCCCCAAGCAGGTAAGAAAGTCTTATAACGGGTAATTTTAGCTAGATACATCCCAGGTGCGAAGTGACCAGCAGTTCTTTGTATGTAGTATGTTGCTTTGGTATTAATTCTCTTGAGTTCACACTGCCTTTTCTCAGCAGTGGTGATGAATAAAAGCTTGCTGCAGAGCGGGATACAGGGAGGACAAACACACAGCACGCAGGACAAGGATATTCTACAAAACAAGTGTCTTTACAGAACGCCTCAGCTTCTTTTCTGAAACATAATGTCTGCCAGATCCCCTATAAAATGATACAAAGATAAGCCAGCTTGAAATAGAAAATTGTTTAGAAAATAAAAGCTTTCTTTTCTAAGAGATACTTAAAAAGATATAAGGCAGAAAGTGAACTTGAATTTCTAACTGCAAATTAAAGCCACTCAGCTTTCTTTAAGGTTAAGTTGAATGTTAAATGCTTCAAGCTAGTAACTATGAGAAGTTGAATTAAGCGCCACAAAACTGGCAGCACTAGAAGACTAGGAAACCGCCAGCAGCTGAACAGTGACAACAAAGGCTCCTGGGAAGGACGCTCAAAACTCCGGAGTTATACCTACTCCCCTGTCCTTTACACCAGAACGTCCTTCTAACATGTCTTCACATATGACTGGTGTAAGACAAGCAGGGTTTGAAACTTTTCTGCCAACCCTTTACCACAAGGGTTGCTGAAAGGAAAAAGAACCCTCATGCTCACTTTCTAAATTTTAAGGACTATAAATAACTTAAAACAAACAAACGGAAAACCTCAGGTGATTTGTGGAACTGAGCTTTATATTAAAAGGACAGTAGAAAAATTCTGGAATGCAGTCTTTTTTGGTTTCTTCAAGTCTCAATCCATGAGTTCTAAATATCCTATAGTGAGAATCCGGTTCATAGCCGGTCCAACTCGGGCTGCTGCTGAGCTGCTGAGCTGCTCTAGGCAGGTGAGTCAGGGTAAATATTTAGGCAGGCAGTGCATGAGGGAGTTCTTATTTGAAAATACAGAGTGAAGCCCAGGGTGATGTAGGAAAGGCACCAGAGGTGCAGACGCCAAGGTACACGCGCAGTTCTGAGAGCAAACGCTTCCTTAATATTCTATTGCCTGTCTCCCTCTCCCCAGTCTTGGTCCAGATGGAGTCAACTCCCTAAGAAAAGCAGAAGAAACGCAAAAACAAAGAAAATGAAACAACAAAAATAAACAAAAACAACGAAGAACACCTAAACGTATAACTTGGAAATTCTATATGTTGACTACAATTTTTGAATATCGTTCACGGACAAAACTGTACTACCAAGCTTCAACAACAATGTGAAATTTGTCATTGTTCCTATAATGAGTTTGCCATTCACTCCCAAATTCTCCAACCTATACAAAACTTTTCAATGTAATAATGTTACTTCTTAAGAAAGCAATGCTAAAAAAATATTTTTGAATTAAAAAAAGAACTCCTAAACAAAACCTAAGCCGGTGCTGTAACTGCTGAAGGAAAGATCGCAGGATGAGATTTCCAGTGTGTGAAACACAGCAGGACCTCCTGGGCTATTTCTTGCTATATGACACTGTTTCTGAAAATCACACATAGATCAGTTCCGAAACCTTATTAGCCACCTCTCCAGACTTACAAAAGGTACCAGTACTGCCTGTCAAGTGACCTTTGCCCTTACCAACTTATTTCAAGTGGCCTTGTCTACTGTCCATTGTTGAAGATCCACAACTGTCTTAATTCTCTACTTTCTTTCTAGGGAGAAATCGTCACCTAGTTAGGAAGCAAGAAGATTTAAGGACATTTGTTTGTCACCCTGTCTAAATGTTCTTTCTGTGTTGCCTAAGATCATTCTAGAAAATAACCAGTGTACAAAGAATAGGTAACTAATCGTATCAACAAACTGCAATTTCTTTAAAATAAGTTCTTTGCTGAAACATCAATAAACTAATCAGAATATACACTTACGTTAAAGCTTCAGAATAATTATAATGAGGCAAGACTCCTAGAAACTTCTGCACTTCATCCATCACTGTTGCAGGGTCGATTCTTAGCTGTTGCCCATCGATAATTAGCAACTAAATTACCAAAGTAATAATGAAAAAGTAAGACGGACGTTGAAAAAACATGTGTCAAGTGCATAATGAAAAATTCCTGTACTCCATTTGGACACTGTCCTGAGGGGATCTGCTTGCATTGTTGGTAGGTACAATTGGGTCATTCTCATTAATGACTTGGAAATAAATCGTGCTAATTAAGCACACTGTTGCCACCTGAGAAGCTGGGGAGCTGTGAAAGCTAAAACAGTTGTGGGGACCAGAGTGCTTAGGAAGGGCCTAGGAAATCACAAAGGTAAATCAAGTTTAAAAACAAACAGGGCAATGGCTGCATCATGATGGGGAGGAGGACTGCAACGGAAGGAAGGCGATAATAAACCCTGGTGGTGCGTGCCCATAATCCCAGCACTCAGGAGACCAAACCATGAGGATTGTGAGTTTGGAGCCAGCCAGGACCTGTCTCAAAACCAATAACAGCAACAACTACCTCATTCTGCCTTTCCCCCATCCCCACCCGAAGAAAGGTCATAATAAGCTCAGGTGTAATGAGACAGAGGGACCTATCATTTGTAGTTCCAATCAGGATTAGCACTGAAGAAATACTTTGATAACCCATGTGGAAGGAGGCAAGGTTCTCAGAGAACCTGCTCGAGGGCAGAAATTTGCTCCAGAGACTAATGAGAAGGGGCTGGAGAGAGGGCTCAGCAGTTATGAGTGCATACTGTGCTTGCAGAGGACTGGAGTT